AGGAAGTTTTTCCTTAGGATATTGGCGGAGGTGAGGGAGGAGCCCCTTTACTCATTGCTGGCAAATGGTAGATTTTGCTCAAGAACATAAGAAATGTTTTCATGGATCAAACCAAAGCTCCATGTAGTCCAGTTTTCTGCCTCCAGCAATAGCTCAGGTTGCTTATTACAGTATTGAATTTCACAGCTCTCCGCCCTGCTTTTTGAGTTTTCATGAAATATAATTTCTTCTTTGCATTGTTTTAGTTTTGCCTTTCATCGCCTTGGTTTTTCTTTCATGATTTGTAAAAATGTTCAGTTTGACGAACACTGTACCAGTTTTCAAGAGTGACAATGCATTTCTTCACCTGTTATGTCAATAATTATTAATTATCATTCCCAATTACATATTTCCTTGGTTTTCCAGTAACACTATTAATTTTCATCCTGTCATGACAATTTCCATCTAAATAATTTTATTATTATCTTTATGCACTTCCTTTGTTGGAACTGTGTGAAAGCCTCTGCTGGAATCCAAACAATTTATGTCCGGCACATTTCCTTTATCCACCCAGTTTCTCACTAATGTGCAACACCGATCACACTGAAATATTTATTTGTGTTGTAGCAGAACAAATTTAAAGGTGCTGCTATGATTTTATGGTGGAACCCTGTTTATCAACTGGTATTATTATTTTATGCATTGGTGGTAATTTGAGGCACGGGAGACAATACCATTCAGTATGAGAAACGGGATTGTAAAGATCACAGCATTATGAGAAACAAATCCTAATGCTTTCTATGTTGTGACAACGTGAAGATTATAAGGAAAACTCATGAAATGTATTGAAGCTCTCAGAATTTCCGTTTCATTTCTGCCATACAAAGAATTTATATCTTTAGCAAAAGAATTATTTGGGCAAGGCCTCTCATAAGCTGCATGCTGTCAACTGTTCCTGTTCTTTGGGAACATAAACAGGATCTAGGGACAGCTTGTGCAAGAAAACAGTTGGAATAGGGAATATTATAGCTTCTCTGCAGCCAACTTGATTATCGTCATCACCCTGTGTACGAGGAAACTGTCAAAGAGGCATTGTGAAGAATCATAGAATCGTAGGATTATAGGATTGCTCGATTCTACCTCATCAACAGCTGTAAGAGTGGCTTAGGATATTTCACAGCCCAAGTCCAGTTCCTTTTATGCAGCCATTAAACTTAAGGTTTCTTGTTACTGTGCTGCATCACAATGGACTTCCTGAACAGCTCCTTATTACAATCTTAATATCTTGAAAATCTGATATTGATTTAACTGTTGGACACACTTGTGAAAGCAACCATTAAATATACATTATAGTAGTCTTTTATAACCTGGCACCCTCCAGGTGTTTCCCCCCACACCTCCCATCAATAATGGCTGGTGTAGGAGGAGGTGTGGTTCAAGATATCTGGTGAGTGGCAGGTTGCTAAAGGCTGCATTATAGCCTCTGTTAATGTCTTCTTGCATTCAGTTCTGAAACTTTTACCGTTACTACACCCTTTTGCATGTTTACTGCTTAAATAATTTTTTTTAAAAAAATACCTCAGTGATGAGAATTTATCTGGGGTAAAAAACAAACAAAAAATACTTCATAACATTAAATGAGTAATGTCTGACAGTGGGAACTGGGTTGGTCAATGGAGCAGTGTGTTGCAGAAGATGGTACAGTCTACAAATTAGTACTTAACTGACCCCAATGCATTTAGCTCTATTTAGCAGTTCTATGTGTCTCACTGCATGTGGGTGTTTTCATCTTTGTTACAGTTATGTGTAAATATCCTACTGAATTATGGGAGAAATTTTAAGAAGTATTAGCTAATGCATGTGATTGAGCTTCATTGAAATTACAAATACAAGAATAGAGCTTTTTATTTATTTAAAAACTCCGTGCCCCACCCTTCAACATTATTCTCTAAGAGTGGCTGGCAATCACCAGCATAATTAAAACAATAAAGCAACATGTCATGAAAACAGCAGAGGTATACTCACTCATCACAAAGAGTACTAAAGCTAAATTTCAGTGTGTTTTTTTTAATCAATCTTAGCATTTTTAGATATCCAGAACAAGTTTACTTTTTCACTTTTTTTCCTTCAAAAATACAGCTCTGGTTTATTGTGTAATTGCATCTTCAAAGTCAAATATTTCAGAAAATTTGCAGGTAATAGTCTACAAGAGGCTTTGCCAGCCTGGAACCTCCAAAATCTTGCTGGACTCCATATCATTCCTGATGATTGACCATGCTAGCTGGGGTTGATGAGAGCTGGAATCTAACAAAATCTGAAGGCTGGTCTACAGCTTTTGGGGGGAGGTTTCTGACCTTGACAAGTGATCCATGAGGTCTTTCTCTGAGCATCAATTGTGTTGATATTTAGTCCTCTGGTGGTTAATTATAAAGTTGAGACAAACCATGAGTCTGGGTTTGGACATAATTTTACTCGAACCATGGCTTAGCTCTGGGTAGCACAGCATCAGCAAGGGTGTGGGAGCAGCAGAGCAGCCCTAAATTTGCTGTGAGTACCCACATACAGTGGTACCTCGGGTTACATACGCTTCAGGTTACATACGCTTCAGGTTACAGACTCCGCTAACCAAGAAATAGTGCTTCAGGTTAAGAACTTTGCTTCAGGATGAGAACAGAAATTGTGCTCTGGCGGCGCGGCAGCAGCAGGAGGCCCCATTAGCTAAAGTGGTGCTTCAGGTTAAGAATAGTTTCAGGTTAAGAACAGACCTACGGAACAAATTAAGTACTTAACCCGAGGTACCACTGTAATTGTTTGTTTACGTTAGCCATGGAGTGGCTTAGCACTGCATGCAAATTGAGAGTGTGTGACCAAACAATTGATAAATACTATTAGGAAGAAACAAATAAAGAGCATGTTTTTATAATGAAAATGGCATAGAATTGTTTAAACAAGACTTGCATTTTACATTACAGTGGTATGGTTTTGCCCATCATGTAATGCCTCCATGGCATTGGGGGGAAATGGCTTCTCTTAGTTTCATTGGTTCCTAATTATTCAAAACTGTGTGCAAATGATACCAAGTTCTTTTGTTAGGGAATAACTTGGTAAGTACAATATTAATAATTCTAATTTGTAATTCATGAATCACTTTATATAGCATTGGCCTCAAAGTCGACTGGTTTGGCATTTACTAATGATATATTTTGAATGCTTTTTTTTAAAAAAAATGATGCATCTGATGATTTACATACATTTTTCACAGACACTTTTTGGGTGAAATTTCTTATTATATATGTCTTATAGGGAGCTTTAAGAGCTGATCATGAAATTAACACTATACTCCTCAGCTGCTTTAAAAAAAAAATAAACATGAAAATACTTACAACAAACAATCCCTATATAATCCCCAAGCTTCTTTACTAGTGCCTGTTACATCCTAAATCAGCAACATAAAAGATAATGTTTTCCCCCCTTTTCCTTTCTTTTTCTTTTTCCAGTTGCAACTGCATTGCCAATAATTATTAAACAAAATGCAGGATTGGCATAACAGACTTTCAGTGTGGAAAGTTAGTATACGAAAACCCATTTCACTTCATTCCTATGCCCAGCTGCACCAGTTTACATTTCTCCGAAGTCAATATGCACATGATTGCATGCAAGATTTCAGCCTTAAATGCTGTAATTTTTAGATTCATGTGACTCTGGGTTTGTGGCGACATGTGGTTGACTGTATGAGGGCTGTCTTTCTGTGTTTAAGGAAGCTGTAAATGTACATTGCCCAGCACATACCCACATTTTAGTGCTCCACCAGTAACTTTATTTCTTTTTCTGTAGACCAGAAAATGAATGTACCCATTGGAAACTCTGGACATAAATGTGTAATCTCATGACCACTTCACCAGGAACATTATCAAGCCACCCTGTGTACCCCCACAAGGTTGTGGTTGTATGAATTGGCTCCCTATAATGTCTGGTGGTGATGCTTATGTAGGAAGCATCTTTGTTTAGAAATATTTGTAAATGTCTTCTGCCATGTTTTGTTGTTGTTAAATTATAGATAGTAAGAATCTAGTTAACATATTGTAACATTTTGGGCTTATTTCTTATTTTATATTCTTTCCCTTCTATGTTTTGCTTGGTTTTTTAATGTATTTTTGTTGCAGACATATAAAAAACATGGAATCCTACTATTTCTATATTTATTTTTCTTTTTGTTTATAGCATAATAATTGCTGACACTTTTAACACCACCATTCCAGTTGTTCACATTTGTAACTATGTTATTCATTCCTGTGGTTAGAAAACCCAAACCCTAAAAAATTGCTGCTGCTTCTCCCATTCTCTTGAAGAACTATTCTGTAATTTTGCATAAAAAGTGAGATTTACAACCAGTTGTTTTGAACAAAAAATAGTAGACTATTCAACATATTTTTCATTTCTATGCAACAGTTTGAAATTTAAAGATTCTATAGAGCAACCTTTTAAAAAATTGGATTGTGGGTGTAATCCACATCAACAATGAAGTCAGCAGCAAATCTATAAAGCTTGAAGATTTTGTTTGTGTTGCCTGACACTATTTAAAAGTGCAAACTCTCTTTTATTATAGTTTCGTCCTAAAATGTCCCTAGTTTTGTTTTGCTTTTTATTGCTCATTCCTCCCACAATCGTGGGTATGTAATTTCATCTGTCTTTTTTTAATTGTTATGCCTGATTCTTTTAATAAGTTAGATTGTTGATATAAAGGTGCAGGAGAATTTTTCTCTCCCTTTTTTGCCACGCTATTTGGAATCCTTTAATGTAGAGCTGTATTTTTCTGTTCTGAATTGCCTTCTTTATTTCCTTTCTTCATTACAAACTACTCTGGAAAGAGCTTTTCTAACTAAAAAAAGAAGAAGAAAAAGAAGCTATGCTTGACTGATAATGCATTGCTTTGGATGGTGAAACATTATGAAAGTTTAATTTTTAATTAAATCTGAAATAGCAATTATAACTGAAAGAGATTTTAACCTGTTTCTTTTCAGAGTGCCTGAAGTTACATTTTAGATGCTGAAATCATTGCACCTTAAAAACAAAAAAGATTGAGCTGCACTGCATTCTTGTAAGTAAAAGCTTTTTTGGTACCTTTTGTCAGTCTTTCTTTGACACAAAACTGTTAGCATAGTAACTAGACTTGGGGGGCAGCGGTCAGGCTGTCCTTGAATAGGATTTAGGAATATTTTGTATATAAAACACACATTTTTGGAAATCCAAATGGTGCTGGGTTTTTAGTGTGCTTTATGCCAGACCCTAAATTGTTAATCTATTGTGCTGGCTGTTTCAAATTTCATTAGGAATGGTGTAGAGCTTTTTCTCCGTTGACATATATTTTCTGTCATCCTGTCACCAACAATTCTTGCACTTTGGTACAAGGAAGGATAATATAAAGTATCAGAATGGCATCAGAAACAGTATTCTTTCCCCTTTGTGATGTCAAAATAATTTTTTGTCCTGTGCTGTAATGAAAATAAAAAAGAAGAGCTTATTGTGATACCACAACAGAATTCAGATGCCTCAAAGACAACTGAAGTTGTATAATTCCTTGTGTGTGCATTGAGGGCACTTATGTGCATCGGTGGCCATCTGATCTATTGTGGCATAAAACAGTCAAAATGGTATTTCTTCCCCCCTTTAATAAGAAAAGAAGCTATTTATAAAAACCCTATTATTCTATAAATGAGGAATAGGCAGACTTCTGGCTTGCAGAATCTTCTTTGTTTTTTTACTATAACTCCAAGGTCTGCCAGCTGGAGCCTGGTGCAAAATAGTGGCTCGGGGTGGAATAATCTTAGAATTAATGAACAGGTTGCCCCTGACCACATTCTCAGCTCAGGGATGTTATCAGGACCAGAACTAAGTGCATAATGCTTTAACACAATTTGTTGATCTCTGGTTTATTGATACTGGATAGCCATTGTTACATTTATTAATCCTGTATGCTTACTTCGTTCTTCACTTGTATCAGTGGTTTATCTGTACACAACTTAGGGAAATAATAATTATAATAATAATAAATAATTATTATAATAAATAATTATAACAATAATTCCTGATTTCCTGCCCCATTTCTCGAAGGAGATCTTTTTGTTGTTGCTTTTGTTAGTTTGGACTGGGGAGTTGGAAATCCTTTCAAATTTTCAGCAGATCATCCATGAGATCATCTGCACATCATCCACAGTAGATTCCACTCTACCTTTTGTCCTCCCCTGCTAATAATACATGATCATTTACTAGTTTTAACAGCACATTGAAGAACTATCACAGTGCCTCTCTTAATTGTTTTTCACATGATCATGCAGTAATCTACCTTTCTATTGTAAATATACCAGTAGTGTATATCTACATGCACTGTTTTCTATTCATCCCTGATATCAATGTCGCCCGTGCCTTGCCCTCTTTCCCATTACCATCTAACCTCTTCTCTTGAACTCATATGCTTGACTTTCCTTTTCCTTCCTTCTGGCAGCCCTATTGTTATCTTTGTCAATTCCAGTATATACTCCTGACTGTGGTCCATCATCTCATCTCCAATTGCTGATAATTTTCTAACCCATGGATGGGTTGGCTCCACTGTATACAGCAGTGGTGGGGAATCTTCAGCCCATGGGCCTAATTAGGTATGACAAGGATCATAATTTGACCTGCAAGGTCATTTCCCCCAAACCACACACATCTGCCCCACACCTGGTAAAAATGCATCTGCAAAGAAACAGTTGGGAACCTTAAAGCAGACTCCTAATTGTTCCTTGGCAAATAGGGCTTGCATTTGGTGCCTTTTGCATTTGGCATCACATGTAAGCCCTGCTGGGATTGTTTCCATTTGGGAGCTTGTAACCTGCCAAAAAGTGAGATTTGCAAGCACCACCAGCCAGCTGTTCTTTGCCTGCAAGGGTTGATTTCAGACCATGTAGACAGAGGCAGCTGGGTTTGCAGGCATCACCAGTCATCTGTTTGGTGGCACTTGCAAACCCCTGTGCAAAACCCCACGTTGTTCGAAATCAACTGAAAATCACTTGTTTGCTTCGCCAGATTACATCCTTGGCTGATCCCAGATACTTGCCTTTTCTGTACCTTCACCAGTTTGTTGGTGCACAGTACTACTGGTCTCATACATTGGTATGAACCTGCTTAGCAATATAGGGAGCTGTCTCATACCAGCAAGTAATATCGCCCATCCACCAAGTTTGGTATTTTCTACAATGACTCATAGTGGTTCTCCAGTAGTTTTCCCCCATACCTATCTGGAGATGCAGGCATTGAACCTGAGACCTTTCACAGTGGTACTTTGTGTTATGGACGTGATCCATTCCGGAGGCCCGTCCGTAACGTGAAAAGCCCTCAACTCGAAGCGCTGTGTCTGCGCAGGCAGGCGGGCAGCGCGATTTAGTGCTTCTGCGCATGCGCGAGTGGCAAAACACAGAAATAACCCATTCCGGTACTTCCGGGTTGCCGCAGGACGCTAGAAGAAAACACACAACCTGAAGTGGACGTAACATGAGATATGACTGTACTGTACATGCAAAACATGTGCTGTATTGGTCAGCTGTTGTCTTTCTCCATGTTATAAAGTTGCAAAGTAGAAACTGGCCCTTGTTTTTGACTGGTATGATCAAACTGACAATTACAGGCAAGTGAGTTGGTCAAATAATAGAATCCATCTTCCAAATTTAAGTTTAAGTATAAACAAAATTGTAGTTTAAAGTAAAAGCTTGTGAAACACTGCAAACCAGCTTGTGTTTCTCATTAAAGATCAAAATGTACAGCTGGATAATGAAACCCAGAAAGTTCTAAGTTCTTCCCAAGTTGCTTTTTTATTGCGCACTGCAAACTGTTATGCTTCAACAGCTATGAGTTTCCTCCTTTAAACATTAATGAATTTGCTTTGGAAGTCAAGGATACCACATACTTGCAGGTGCATAACGACCCATCCTATATAGAATGCAAGCCAAGTATTGGGCAAACCATGTCATTTTCTGTCCAGACTTCTCAACAACTATACCAGAACAAAAACAAACATAAAATAGACCAAAATCTGTTCATTTTTGGCACATAACCCATTTGCGTGCATGCTTGTACATGCTTGTACAAGGTAGCAACATATTTTACACTGGAGTGTACTGTCTAGATAGTGAAGCATATGCAAAATTTCTAGTACATTGTTTTCACTCCCTGCAATCCACCTAAGCTCTTGGAAGAGAGTTGAATATAAATTTATTTAAACAAACATAAAGCTTCTCGCTTTTAAATCCTGCAAAGAATAGAGAAATGGAGGTGCTATTGACAATTGCAGTTACACATAGATTGACAGCCTTGAGCCAATTCTCCCAAAATGTAATATTGTCTTTATTAGACAATGAAATAAAATAAAATCTAGTCCTCAAAGCGAGATGTTTTGGGAGGGGTTTACTCACTAGGCTGTATCTTATAGAATGTAGATGCTGGGGGGGGGGTATAGATGAGGGTGCAGGGGTTAATGCTGGCTGAAGATGGCATGTTTTGATCTAATACAGTGATCGACAGTTTAGTGACAAAAACATGGATGTACTGCCATTATTAGAGATTGATCAGAACAGCTGACTGGACGGGGTGTGGCAGCAAGGGTCTGACACCACCAGGATAGGCAGGAGTGGTATTGTCTCAGTGGCTTAAATGAAGGGGTGGATAAATCATTATAAAATAATCATTGTAAAATATAGTTAATACATCAGAAGAAATGAATAATATTCAAAATGGCCTTGATAGAATGGAAGACTGGGCCAGGACTAACAAAATGTAGTTCAGCAGAGTCAAAAGCAAAATTATGCATGAGATAGCAAATGCACAAGATAGAATGTGTGTTAGTAGCATGGCAACAGCTACAAAAAGGCTAATATGATTTTGGCTACATTGAATCATGCTACTTCAAAATCATAGGCAGTAGTAGTTCCACTTCGTTCTGTGGTAGTCAGACTTCATATGGACTACTGTGTCCAGTTCTGAGCATTACGCTAGAACAGGAATGAGTTCAGAGGGAGACAACAAATATAGAGGTATGGGGGGGGGAGCGTATGAGGAAACATGCAAGGACCTGGGTATTCTTAAGTTGGAGAAGAGAAAGAATGAGGAGAAATTTGACAACACTCTTCAAATCCCTGAATGATGTCACACAGGAATAGACGTAATAGTCTTAAGTTACAAGGAGGATATATTTTGGTTCAACATTAGCTGAAATGTTACCCATTCCCACCCCCCTCTGAGTAATACCCCTCCCCACCTTCTCACTATATAGAAGGATCTGGCAACTTCTGTTTCAGTGTATCTGAAGAAGTGTGCATGCACACGAAAGCTCATACCAAGAACTAACTTAGTTGGTCTTTAAGGTGCTACTGGAAGGAATTTTTTTTGTATTAGCTGAAATGTCTTTTTTGTTTATTTAAACAATTTGTATACTTCTTAAATCACAGTAATATCTAAGCTATGACAGGAGATTAAAACTGAGTTTAAATTGAATCAAGACTATAAAATTAGAATTCCGATAAAGGCCTTCTGGAATAAAACAAGTCTTCAGTAAGCACCTGACATTCAACAGGGAGGGACCCCGTCTGACTTAAACTCGAAGGGAGTTCACAAAATTGGGACCCTAATAAGGAACAAATGTCTCCTTTTGAAGTTGAACCACACACTTGAGGTTTGACATTACGAGCAGTTCAGCAATGGAATCAGTTACTTAGAAGGTTCTCCTTCAATGGAGATCTTGAAGGAAATGTGGGACAACCATTCTTTGGAGATGTACTAGCTGTGGTTTTTCTACATCAAGCACATGGTTGAACTAGATGGCCTTCAAAGGCCCACTCCAACTTTGTGATTCCATGACATCAGTAAGGGACCCTAAGGAAGAGGAGGGAGAAATGAAGCAGAGCAGTTTGGGCTTGGGAGACAAGGATGACAACAAACGGCATGTAACTGTGTGGAGAGGCAATGCAAGCTTCTCTGTTCAAGGTCATTTGGGGCCATCCCCCATTGGACCCGTCATGCTTTGAGAATGGAACAATGAAATGTAATTGCATAAGAATGTACAGAGCC